GGCAGTAGGTAGCTGGTATTACACTGGGACTTCATAGTTTTGTGTTCCCAGCTGCACTTCTTCCATTTATAAAATGGAGACAATGGTATAGTGCAGTCTGTAGGACTTAGACCAGCAGAAGAAACGTCAAATGCAATGGAATCTTTTATAGAGGTTACCATGGCCAATTCACTGAGGACTTCAGTTTTAACTCTGGTATCTAGTACTACCAAAGGCTTTTTTGTATTTTAGCAGCACTGAGAAACGCTCACTTGCCCCAGATAGGGCACCAAGCAATCCACAGTGAGAGACAGCCTGCGTCCCAAAGAGCTTCTCGTAAAGAATGGCTACTTGCATCGGTACTTTACAGTGCAAAGGAAGGGAGACCTGATGAGACTGTAAAATCAACAAGAGAGGAGGCAGTCCCACCACTCATTTGCATGTACTTCTCTGAACCAGCTAAGTTAGAGGCTAGTCTCCATCTGGAGTGAAGGAAGAGTCACCTTCAAAAGGCAATTCAGACCATTCAAGTTGGGAATCATGCTCCAAATCACCTTCTGAAGCTATGGATGAGTATACCTCCAAAGATGGCAGTTGGAGTCCAAAGAAGCAAGTTGGTTTATCCAAGTGAGACTTAACTGAGTCACCGTGGGAGTAACAAAGCCCTGTATAATTTGAGTCTTTGGTCATTGTTTGAACCACAGCTCGCTCTTCTTTCTTGCCAGAAACAAAAGCAGTAAGCCAAGTAGCTCCTCTGTAAATGGAATATAACCAATGGTCTGTTACCTTGTTCCAGTGCCCCAGGTGGCTTTCAGCAGAGGTCACCTGCACATGTGAAGCAGTAGTTAGAGTTCAAATTATCAAGAATCATGCTAAATATTTACTTAACAAGGCACAGCCACAGCAAATGAAAATACTTTCACTAAAATCCTCCCCGACCTCCATTTGCCTGTCTTCCAGTCTAGCAAAGACTACAAATTTTCATGAGCTTGTATAGGCAAAAGTAAAAAGGAACAAAAATACAGTGTCTATGGCTCTTGGAAAAATTTGTCGGCAGTGTCTATTGCTGCCTATAATAGATTTAGCTATCATATGTTATGAAAGAGAGCATGACTGGCAAAAGGTAGGAGAGTATCAGTAAGGTATGAATAGCAGAAAACCAGCTTAGAGCTACGTATTTGGTAAGGAAAGACAACGAAGACAATCAAGTTAAAAAAAGAAAGGACAAAGCACCGCATAAAATGGACATTGTATCAGGAAACAAACGTTATGACTTCTTCCAAAGAATCACTGCCTATAGACTGCTTTAGTTGGCATCTCAACTGGTGATAGGCAGCCAAGTTAGTTGGAGTGTGGGAAGGTGGGAGCTTTAACGTACAAAGCAAAGGTCGTGGGTTTGGTGAGCATAGTGGCTCAGGGTTTTCTATGATTCAAATTTCTAACACCTTACAGTACCCTTATGACTTGTTTCATTCCTACAGGTGGTATTTAGCATGGTCTTTAAACAAACTTCATTTCTTAGATACTAGTGATTCAAAAATAGATTTAAGACAAATGTCTTGAATGGAATACCCTACTAAAAAGATTAAATTGTCTATACCTGCAAGCTAACATCCCCAAACTTTTGAAAAGCAATGAATGCATATGAAAATGTTTAAAAGCATTAAAAATCTTGTTTCTTCTCTTACTATACCTTTCAGGCACATTCCTCTGAGCATCACCACTGCTGTAAGACCTGACACCTGGATCTTCAAAGGCATATAGCCACTTAAATTGTATTGAACTCAAAGGGAATGAAATGCCTCAATGCTTTCTGGGACTCTGGGAACGAGGGTTCATTAGCTTGACTGGGAATTAAGGACCATCAG